TACATAAAACAGTAATGGCTAGGTGTACCATCGCCTTTTCTATAAAAACTTTTACAGTCACCAGCCAGTTTAACGGGTCAAATAAATAAAATGAAGCGTACAAAGTAAAGAATACTTAATGGATATAACTGGTCCTGGGCCAAATTTGCATATCCTTCGTCAGGATTTGAACCGGTTATTATTTGTCACAAATTTCCTACTAATATTTATTTTGCTTTAACCGTAATTTGAAGAACTGTATTCTACGAAAATGTCTTAGCTATAAATTTTAAAAGTCGCTACACCGATTAACATAACACCTTACCTGGAAACATTCCATCCTTTTTTGACTAGAACTTATCTTAAGTTTACATACTTTTCACAAATTTTGTTATTCTATTATCTATGCATATATTCTTATAAGGAAATTGTAAATGACAAATCAAATTAGCCAGCAGCAAAGTTAGGAAACACCTTTAATACATTGTAAATCTGAAATTAATTTAAATTCGAATTCGTGCACCTGTCAAGATATTTTCACTTAACAGTAAAATGTAGATCTAACAAACATCTAGGCTAGAAATAAACATTGCGCAAACGCATGACTCAGACTGCACCTAGCGAACTAAATATGGCAGGTCAGATTTCTTGATCCATAATCCTTTGTTAAACACATTCATTCTGTTCCTAATTGCTTTATTTTCTTATCTTAATCATAACACGATGGGTTTTGGGGAAATCAATGTCGGTTCATTTATTTTTCAATAAAACTTAATTATATGTTGCATTCCTTTTAATCGCAAAACATGATAAAGTTTTTTTAATTCTGTGTTTTTCTTTTAGGTAGGGTTCTATAAGCTCAAAAATAGCTCTATAATTGAATGTTACGTTTAGTTAGTTGTGATCCCTACGACATTGTAGCTTTAATTCAGGCAATTCCACGCTGTATTGTGATACTTATTCTTTGAGCAAGGAAAGCAGCAACTCTGGGGTCACCGGTGCACTTAAACCCCACGGCCCAAGAGTCTCTACTCCAAACGGAACAAAATGCTTTACAATAAGTTTGAACAATGACCGATTGTTTTAACTTTAACTAACTATTAAAGGCAAACAAAAATCATATGCCCAAACTAATACACAAAACTAAACCAGTTCACCACCAGTATCACCACAGCGTAAATACAATATTTTCACAGAACAATTATTCCTTTTACAATGATACAGAACTGGCACACCAAAACCGCAATGGAAAAATGATTATTGTAAATTCTTAAACTTACTTTTATCTACCAATATAGTTAGTCTAGTGTTAGAGCGATTGATCTACTCTACCCGTAATCTGTAACTTCCAATGAGAAAGAAAGAAAAATAAAAAACTTGCACTAGCCCCACACGGGTTCCCTGTGTCGAGGATCAGTCTCTTCCTTTTGACAAGTTAACGGTAGGTACCTAATATTAACAATAAATATATAATAATATAATATAATATATACTGGTTGACAATAATTTCTACATAACATTTACATTTTATAATTAAACTATTGTTGCACAATATGATTGCTTTCCGTTTCAATATAGGACAGGTCGAGAAGGTGTTGTTTAAGATAGTTATTGTAAATATAAAGTTTTAAAACGTTAGTGAACATTTTCGTGAAATAGCGATGACGTAGCGCTTAAACTGGGATGTGCTCTATAGACTGTCTATGTGCGCAATAAACAATTGAAAACACTTGAAGAAAACTATGTAACTACACCTTCTTTTTAAGATAATAATAATCAAGGAAAACTGCGAAAGTAAAACTCGAAAGGGTAATATTATTATTCATGATGTCACTGATAAAAATGTTTTATTTTATTTGCGTCATAAACTGTGTCTTATCCCGCTATTCCATAACTCAATGTGGTCAGTATTAAGATCGTAAAGTGTTGTCGAAAATGTAATCGTAAAAGAAATATCTGATAACATGTTTTATCGAATTGATATATACGTTTTGATTCAATAAGAATCGTTAAGGAAAAACGACAATATACAGGGCATTTAGTAACTTATTAAACAGAACTTATTTAATAAATTGGTTTAAAGCGTTGTTCCTACTCAATAAGGATTTTAGTCTGAATACTCATTTAACAACACACAGCTTTTAACCTTTAAAAACCAAATTAATAAGCAATTCTCGGTTAAAAAAATATTGTTTTAACAGTTTACTTACAAGTTTGTGTCGTCTTAAGTAATCAAATTATTTAACAATATTGTTTATGAATGAGTTCTTTTATTTATGGCAAAAGCAAAATCATGGGTTTTAGAGTCAAATCCCAAGTAAAATCGATTTAAGCCGATAAGGTCACGCACCATATGGTTCGCGGCCTTGTGTCGTGAACGTCAACTCGTTCCGGCTCAAAGCTATATATAATAAAATTGTATCTTACCAATGTTTATATATTTATTGACACTGTATAGAACAAAACAATAACCAACATTCGGTAGCAATTCCTCCTCTCACCTCTTCCTGGAACCAGTGCCTAGTGACCTAAAAGTAAAACAGAAGAGTGCAAACCGTACACATACTAATGATATTCATAAAACATTACTTATAGAAAAATATATGAACTCGTTGTGTATAGATACAGTAAATATTAAAGCAAGCAAAGTTATGACAAACACGTTTGTCTGTACAAACAGTACTTAATGGTTATATACCAATAACTTAATTTGCCACATCTCAATACATGCAGTCAGCGAAGTTTCATCTGGCGACGACGAGAGTAGTAATAAACTGGAGACTTTAGTTGAAAGACTAATTGTGGCCAAAAGCATCTCTAGTGCACACGATTACCTCACTCCTCTACGGTTCACTAATGACAAACAAGCGGATCACGACTTGTTTCGTCTTCTTTCCTCCATTTCCGGTTGGTCATTTCAATTCGCTAATGAATTGTCTCTCAATCTTTTAGGTAGATGTGACTTAGAAAAATCGATTTTGATATACGGTACTTATACACTCGTACTTGGCCTGTACTTTTCTTTAAGTGGGACTTAGGCATGACTACTTACAGTAAACTTAATGGCAAGTGTAAACTGGACGTGTTACGAGATTAACGAAAACTATGGTTTATTTACATTGAACCTTTTAAATCATCTACAGTTATTTAAATGGAAAGTTCTTCAAATAAAAAGCCTATTGAGAATTTAACACGTGATCAGATAATTTAATTAATATAATTTCTAGGTGTAATATTTAAATAATAAAACAAAATGTATATACTGATAATAATAATAACGCCTTATTTATTTCCATATCAACTGTTGTTAGTAGTTATTTATAAAGTAAAATGTTAGTCGCTTAGTTAGTTACTTGGACCCTTCTTGGGTAAAGGTGTCCTCCAACGCTTTCCAGGTGTCTCTATCTTTGCCAATAGTCTGCCAGTCTTTTCCTGCTGTTTCTATCAAACCTTCAGTCCATCTCCTTTTTGGCCTGCCCACTCTAAGTTTCCCGGGTGGTCCCTTCAATTGTGATGTCTATATTGTCCATGATGTAGGTAGTCTAGGTATCGTGTTACATGGTCATGTATATATATTTACTAGTAGCATATTTTTGTCAATTTTTTTCCACTAGACTTCCCATTATCATGGGTAGGGTATCCCCTAATGGGATAGATATGCATCTGTATGGTTGATTACTTTTCATTAAGTGAGTCTATATTTTTTTTTGTCTGACAACAGCACATTTTGAGACAGCAATACGGACTTTTTTTAATGATTTTAAAAGTGAAAATATTGATTACACATACAAAATTGGCTCAATAACAACAAGCTGGGCTAACACAGATTTAAATGTAATTCAAAATTACTTCCTCTGTAGAGATTACGCACAGTAGCTGTTGAAGAGAACCGTTTTTTGCAGACGAATTCCATTTAGGGGAAAAAACTATTTTAATGAAACATCGTGTGAAAGACGTGATTGATGGTCACTGTCTATAGTCCATTGACCTCTCAACCATTATTTTTGGAAGTATTCTTCGTTTGTTTTGTCATATAGGGTATTAAAATATACTCATATACGAGAAATCTATGCTTCCTCTAGCTTGTATACATTTATTGGCCGATGCAGTGTTTAACTTTGGATGCCATAGATTCCAATCCAGATATAATTTAATTATGTTCGGAAACATATAGACTCTTTATTTATATAAAAAAAGTGGAATAGAGTCAGTCACACTGCCCGCGTTAGCGATGGTGAAAAAGTCCTTACTTGCAATAACCTAGTGGGTAGAAAGAGGAGAGGACGTCCACCAGAAACCTGGGTAAATGAAATAAAAGAGATAGCGGAGAAAGATCAGTAAATAGTAGCGAAGATGAGAGACAGGTGGAAGAATTTGGAGAAGGCCTCATTAAGTAGTCGCGTATAAATATAATAATAACATTAACTTAATGTAACTTAAATGATAGTAGGTACTCGAATAAAGGCTTATATTTATATGTATCGTATAGGTCCGATAATTTATAATTTTAGACTAATTTATAACATCTTTATCAGTGTAATGGCAGATTTCTGCTTTGAGTTAAAAACTAACACCAATTTACGAAATTTGAAGGCAATGAACTCGGTTCTATGTAACATGATGCTTTTTATTAAGAGATGTTAAATCAAATGTGATGATTGATAGCTTTTTTGACGAAACCTGTATTGGATAAAAAAGCAGTGCTATACTGGCTCTGCGCAATGCTTTTTAGTTGAATAATCTCGTTGATTCGAGTAGTTTTGAAACTATTACTTATTAGAAAAAGAAATGTGTTCTGCTTGATTGAGTCAAGCTGAATGTATGGTGTGAGACCAATATGGGTTTGAATAGGCTTTACCAGACATCAAGACTTTGTTGTTGATATTAAGTAACTATTAGAATAATAATTTCAATATCACAATTAATCTGGAAAAGTACCTACTTATTGTCTTATTACCAGTAATAATAGATTTTGTTGTATAATTTGGACGAACATTAATAAGATTTTATCGTGGTTTCAGGCAGAGCGTTACCGCGAGAGGAGACGTCTAGCCACTCCCAGTCCTACACCGTCACCTCCTCGTCGACAACCAACACAGTCGTCCAGCTGGTTCAAGTCAATTGACCGCCTTGGCAAGAAAAGGGATAAACATATTAAGGTACTATAAAATATAATAAAATCCTATTTATTACAAAGAGTATATAAGAAGATTTATAATAATCCGGCTCGAAGGACCTTTTTTCTAATATCAGGTGCCTGGATCTCTATCACTTCGTCATTGCTATCACATATTAGATACATAGATACAAAACAGTATAGACTCATGGAAAAATCTACTTAACATCAGGTCCTGCCCTTATTGCCCCTGATCAAAAAAAAAAAAAAAAAAAAAAAAACGACTCATGGAAAAATCTACTACACTTCCTTATTGTTTCTTGCATGCATTTTACAATGATAATACATCGCTAGCTCAAAAACTCAAAAAATTAAACAAATCTCAAGCGACAAAAATGCTAAAAAATTGTAGAACAAAAAACATTACAATGGAGATATAAAGGCCGTAAGACATCTTTTCTCAAATGATACGAGTATTCTGGCCTATGAAACTCCAGACTCACTTGCAGCCCTTTCGCCAAAACATCCCAGTACTATCTTTTTTTTAGAACCCTCCTATAAATTAAGTATTCCTACTCAGAAATAGATACATTACAAGGAATAATAAATCCAGGCAGTAAATTCAGTGCATATGATCGTTAAACTTTGCCATTATACTTTTCTAATAATTTCAGGTAGAGAAAGAAAGTATCATAACAACAGAGGATGAATTACCACGACGTTCCTATCCCAAATCAAGCAAACCATTAAATTCTCCAGCCAAGAATCTACGTTTCTTTGGTGACACTGACCCAGAATCTGATGCAAACGTCAAACAAACTGTAACTAAAACTAAGAGCCATCCGATCAAGTCTCATGGAACTCTACGGAAGACTATTTCCAATTCAAGCACAGGCCAAGATGAAGTGGACCATGAAGTGCCAAGCAAAAGCTACTCTCTTTCTAATTTACAAAGAGATGAAAAACTTAGAGATAGCGTGTCACCCAGAACGAAAGATTACTATAAGAGGAATCTACAAAATATTTCAGAAATGAGTAACTCCGAAGTGGACAGTCAGTTTAGTAGGAAAATGGCATCTAAGCCACCTATCAGCCCTTATGATAGATCTCGGAGCCACAGCAGTAATAAGACCCTAAAAGGAAGTAAAGGAGATTTACTGAGGCAAGGAAGGGAAGAAAGGGGCAGTTCTTCAGAGCTGAGGAATGGGAAACCAGATATAAACAGAGACCTCAAGTAAGTGATATTGTTAATAAGAGAAAAAGAATATAGTATATATAAGTATCTATCTACATTTTAACCAACTTCAATCATCCATTCACGTCATACGTATAACTATCATATATATATACGGGGAACAAATCCGTAAAAGCTTAATCTATTTTTTTTTTCAGTAAATGTATTTAGTGTAAATAGTTTAAAAAAATAACTAAATGTACATTACAGTAATTTATGTAATTAGACTTAATAGCAACGGAGTTTTACGATTGTTTCACTGTTTAAACATAGTTACGGATGACACAGTAACCGCAAATTACGACGGCACATTCTGAAGAATGTCCAAAACGTAAGAATTTATTATCACTTTTTTCGAAGAAATATTAAGATCTTGGTGAAACAGAGATATATTATTACCAGTTTAAATACAAATAAAGAGTGTTTTAGACAGTTGCATACATTTTTATGATTATTTGCTAGAATTACAATTGAGGAAAGAAAAATTTAGAAAACGAGTATTACTACCATTGTGTACAATATAATTTCCGTAGAATAAAGACATTCTCGTGTTTTTTTAATAAAATGTTTTGCAATTCTAAAAAAATACACTTATGGCATCATCCAAGGAAGTCAAAATTGAGAAAACATTAAAACAGCCGTAATAGTGGTTTTCCTGGGGCAAGCGATATGCTGTAGCCTTCAACATAATATATTTTTTCAGACACCGTCGTCGAACGCCAGTAGCAAACTCTGGGGAGAGCAGCACTGAAGGAGACTCCAGTCATCAGTCTCAGCGTAGCGTTGTCTACTTACACGCGACTACTGGTAATATTCTTCATTTAAAAGATTATTATCTGTTTTGTTTAATGTTTTAACCTGTGGCATGCTATGTTATAATGGCATTTCGGAAACCAGAAGAGATAAAATATAACTTGTATTTAAACTTATACTGTGATCAACAAATAAACAAAACTAGTGGCGCTACAGCCTTTGGTCTGGGCCTCAGATTTCTGTATCTGTATCATGTTCATTTGTCAATCTAATAGGCAAGTAGGTGATCAGCGGTTGGTTGATGAGTCTAAGGCAAGCCGGTTTCCTCACGATATTTTCCTTCACCATTTGAGCGATTAAATATACAGAAAGTGCACAGCCGGAGATCGAACCTACGGCTTCAAGGATGAGAGTCGCACGCTGAAGCCACTAGGCCACTGCTCCGATCAACATATCAACAAATAACATCAATAAAAAGCCCCTTAAAGAGTAATTATCACCGAAAGTACCATAAAGCTTATACAATTAACTTTTCAAATTCCAGTTGGTGACATACCCGACCCTGGCAGAGTCACACGCAACCGATCCCGTGATGACGTATCATCCGTCATGTCATCCAACATTCAAGTGCGAAACTCTACTAAAACATTCTCCATATTCGCGCCATGGACACCGAAACAATACAACGACCAATACGACGTACATTACGCCCAAAAGCCGAGGAAAAAAAAGGAAACCACACCAAAAAAGTACGCGTCAACGAAAAATTTATCGGATGACAGGCCGGCAACTTTACAAAAAAAGTCTTACAGTCAAACCACATTGAACCGTCGTCCGAATCAGAATAATCGGCTGACGAGTTCCAGTACAATGCTATATAGACCGAAGCGAGGAAACGAATCACAAACGTCCCAAAGTACGATACCCCGTAAGAGTAATGTAAGGAGTCAATCGAGTGAAATTTTGAGTCGCGATGATCGAAATCGAGTCTCCCGGTCGACTTCCATACCGAAAGATAAAAAAGCTGGCTGGTTTAAACTCTCCAAAACTAAGAAGCAAGAGAATACCCGTGTACGATAACCTGTGTCATTCTATCGCTCTATTCTCTTGCTCTCTATTACGTACTCTACACTTAAATACTTACACATTTTTATACCATAAATATATATATATGAGTTTTAACAATTAATCTTGAGAACATTTTAAACAAAAAAACAATCTAATAAGATGCTTTTACAATTCTTGTACTAGCACATTTTTCACAACGCATGAAACTCAATCTTGTACTACAGAATATATTTGTATTAGATCAAGAAGTTTAAATTTATTAATTTTAGGAATTAGGATCCGTAAGTTAAGTAATAAACACTAATGTTAATATTACTGAATTTAAAATGGCTTATAATTATTTACACCAAGCATTTATACATATTTGGCCGTGCCTTTTTCAAATTGATGTTATAAAAATTATTTATAAATAATGCAGATTACTAAAGTGCCATTCGTGAATGTAAGCGCAAATTAAAATAAAACATTTTTTGAACTATTGAAACTTACATTTTATTTTCATTTGCGCCCTTGTCTAATACTGCCTGACAAAAATGTTAAACGAGGTTTTATGCAAATATTTTTTTGCCAGGTGGTTTATTTAATTAAGAAAAGTGTTACCATTTAATTGTATAAATAACAAAAAGCTTGAAACTAATATAACGTGCATACATTTGCTTTAGATCTCTGGTAGTTATTGCTTCAAAGAATATTTTTTATTATAAGCATTTGAAGATTTAGCCTCTTAGAAAGACTTAATCAGTCATATTACACTGAGCTTACTAAACTAGGTCAAACATGAGTAAAACAGTTTCAATCGCTAACGTAAAATATTTCTTTTTCAAATACATATATTTATAAAAAAATTTACTGTGCACCTGGTCTTCCCGTAATTCAATATAATTCGATGTATTTATTTCAATAACTGAAATAAGGTTGCATCCGCTATTGGTCATAGGGTAAGCTTGCTGCAGCTCTCTACTACTGACAAGAGAATTTTGATTAAAGTGCATTTTTTAATATTTGGCGAAGGCAAATTTTACGACATTGTTTAATATTTTGTCAAGCTTACAGTAGAGGTAAAAATCGGTAATCTTTCTGTCACATTGTGTTATAGTCAAAACAGTGTAAAGGGTGATTAAGTTTATGAAGGTGACGATTTAAACTGTAAAATAAAGAATAAGTAAAGGATCTAATTACAGTGTTTTATTTCCACTTCGTTGTCCTGCAAGCCAATATTCAATTAGTATTAAATAAATAAATCGTTTATTTGCAAAAAAATGTTTAATAATTAGAGTCGTCTATCAACTGCAAAAGTAAATAAAATTTTATAATTAAAAAAACAAATTAATATAAAACTAAAACAATTGTATAACATGATGCTTAAGTTGAACTGAAGTACACCCTATTCCCATCACGAACTTACCAAAAATTATCGTATGCGTCAATAAGGTAAATTTAGTTCTTCAGAGCTTGAATCGTTTATAAAATATGTACAATGTACATTATACTTGTTTGTTTTTTCAAAAAAATAGTTACTATTACAGTACGGTAGGCTATTATATTTTCAAAACATCTGTGTGGACCAAGGGTTAGGGGTCAACGTACGATATGTTGTTTATTACGGTTGACAACTCAGCTCGTACTGTTATGGCGAGCGTAGCTCGACCAAAATGTGCTTTTCCCGCGACTGCGCTAGCAAGGGCGTCTCCTGCGAGACTCGGACCTCGGCTTGGGCCGCCCAGGGGTGGTCAATCGCCGGAAGGACCGAAGCTCACAGGAGTGTGTGGTGCGAATAAAAAGACCACGCCTTCCCCGGCCGGTGAAGGCGGTTTTTACCCTAATGTGACTCTGCTTTGCCGCGAGGGCGGCTTTTCATTTGTCATGAGCAAATGTTAATGGATCCGACGTGTACGCTGTGGGTTGATATCACATATATATTATTATATGTTTTAGGCCTAAATAAGTGATTTATAAAGAGATAAACACGCTTAGACGCACCATAGCGGATTTATGGTAGCACTTAGTAAACATGAATAATAATAATTCATATACGAGTTACGACTGTCATGACTCATGACTCATGAGTCAGCGTATGGTCCTGAGACAAATACACATTTTGCGACAGGCGGGACGCACTAACGTCAAAATAATTTGTATGGAATTGTTTTGTATATAATATTATACAAAATTTGTATATAGATATGGGTATCAAAAACAATTGACGTTCAGGTGTCGTAATTAGTTCTAAGTAGCAGCTTTCAATCTTACCGTGAATCTTATTTAAATTCAAAATCCAAATTTGACATAATTATGGGAGTAATCAAGTCTCGACTCTGAAGCTTCAGAAACGAGACTGCGCAAACTATGATTTCCGTATGTCAAAGTCCGAAACGTTTTTGACTGAATAGTCTAAACGTTATCCTCAAAGTTGAAGCTCAGCACTAAGTATGACTTCCGTATGTCAAAAACGTTTCGTATTTCAATAGTATCGTGACATTCTAGTAAAGTTTTTGAATAATATATCATCTAATTCTTTACACAATGAAAATTGCGGCCAAAAACGATTGCACCCAGATACGCCTATTCCTTTTCTTTCTTTTTTGTTTTTGATTAATAATAAAAAAAGCGCTACAAGCCGCCGCAGCAAGAACAATGTCGTCCATAGCGAGAGAATACTGAATTGCTCGTGTAGGACAGTATTGCCTAGTTGATGAAGTTGCGCCATATCGCTTAATATTGTATTGCGCAGTATTGATGCTTGTTGCCGTTGCCGTAAATTGCTTGATGTAGTCGTGACGTCATAGTTGACGAGTATTGACTTTAATTGAGCAATTTTAGTTGCCCGTGTAAGCGCACCTTTAATAAAGTAATTAGAAATTATTATTATTTAGACCTCTCGCTCTCCCCGCGGAAGCAAGACGGCAAGCCGCAAAACAAACAAGTGCGAATGAGATATATACAAAAATTGCTAGGAATTTCCAAGTCCATTGGATATTGGTCAATTCGTATCTGCGACATTGAGCGATATGAAATATCTGGAGCAATTAGAAGCAATATCGCCGAAATAATTTATTGAAATTGCTCCATTAATTGCTCCAGATGACAGATCGGTCCATTCGTGTCGCCGAGCAATTATTGCCCTCGTGTAAGCGCACCTTTAGATTTTGACTTGTGTCTGTTTCTGAGTACATCACAAATAATAAAATTTCAATTATAAATAAAATGGGATGTTACCCATGTGTGTACGTTATCAATATCCTGCTAAAAACCGTCTATAGCAGTGATTGTAGGATTTATATTATGTGATTGTGGCAGCATTTAATCATAATACTACATAATTACGTAAATTTAATAATATTATTCAATAAGACAAGGACTCTTGAGGTACGTTTTTAAAATTAGTGTAGTTTAAAAGGTAACAATAAAGTCAAAATATTAATAAGTTGAGCCCCATGAAACCTAGATAAATTGTCAAGGTAATTTTAGCCAATTAACATATTATTATAAGCACAACTTTTAAAGTTATATTAATTTAAATAAAAAAACATCAGTATGTACCTGGTTTCTCTTTCAGATAAGCTACAATGATGATAGAAACATTTGTGTTTTTTGATATAGAAGCTACAGGACTTCCCCAATTTGAAAAGAATAGAACTAAAATTACAGAATTGACCTTTATTGCTGTAGCTCGAATGGATATCGAGACAAGTGAATGTTTACCTCTCATGAATAAGTTGTCTTTACTTTTCAACCCAGAAAGGAAAATTCAAAAAGAAGCTTCAAGGATCACAGGTTTAACAAATAACAATTTAAAAAATCAACCTATATTTAAAGATAAAATTCAAACAATAAATACTTTTCTGTTAGAACTCAACCAACCGGTGTGTCTGGTTGCTCATAATGGCAACAGGTTTGATTTTAAAGTACTTAAAGCTGAATTTTGTGACGCAGGCCAGGATTTGCCATCCCACCTACTTTGCTTAGATTCACTGACAGGTTTTAGAAAGATTGCTAAAGATAGTATGAATATTTGTAGTAAAGTTCCTTCAAGCTCCAGTAAAAATATTACTCTAAAAACAAATAAAACTCTAGAAACAAATATTACAACTTCTTTAAAAGTTGATGATTTACTAACTGATGATGATGATGATTGGCCACAGCTTAACACAAGCACTGAAATATGGGAAGAAATTGACAAATTATCGTTAAATGAATGTCCTGTGAATAAACCAAAGACAACAGGGAAAGTGTCGTGTCAATTAACTGCTTTATACAAAAGATTTTTAAAAAAAGAGCCACTTACCTCACACAGAGCAGAAGCAGACTGCATTATGTTATTAGAATGTGTTACTACAACCAAACAGAGCTTTTTACCATGGGCTGATAAAAATTGTAAATTAATTAGTGAAATTAAGCCTCTAATACGTAGTTAAGGTTCATTTAATGTTAAGTTTAAATTAACAATATTTAATAATCATGTATACTTTTAGATTTATATTTTATGTCTGATATTAATTTCAATTTTGTATTATATTTAAATTCTATTTTTATTATTTTAAATACATATGTATAATGACTAAATCCTAGGTGATTTTTTAATTAGGTTTAAGGTTGTAAAAGAAATATAGTAGGTAGGTACTTAATTATAAGCAGTTTTATTATATCCTATACACACATTTAAGATAGCATATTTTTAAATCAGTCTTTATACAGGGAATTACTAAATTAATAATAATATAGGTATAAATAATATATATGAAGCCCGTTATGATATAAATATAGGTAACTATAAAAGTTGAAATCACAAACCAGTTCACTGATTGAATGAATGAAAAACTCAATGTTGGCCAAAATTTGTGTGTAAGTTGCAGAGCCAAGGACCAAACGAAGCTTACGCTTAATTAAGCAAAAAAAAATATTTTTCAAGTAGACTTACAATAACAAAAGTAAGTAGGTAGTGTGTAAAACAAGTTTTAAACTTTTGAATGTGGCGGTATCTTAGGATCTTGATTGTCAGGTGTCATTTATTTTCATCCCCAAAGCGTCGTCGCATAAAAAACACCATTAGCTTTTTAATGTTGCTACGTTGGAAAAAAGTTTTCCATATTGGGTAAAAATGATTCCCAATATCCATTCTTTTTGGAAATTTATAGGTAGGAGTGAGGACCTTGTCCAGCAGTGGACGTCTGTTGGCCGATATGGTGATTTCCAATTGATTACGAATACAAGGTAGAAAATTGGACATTGTGACAACTAACACGGAAATAGGGTGGGACAAACTTAGTGCTTTTCTTACTAGGAATTCGTGGTATGAAAGATGGCAGGCCGTTGGCCATCGTTGGGATGTTATGGGCTATTAAGTAAAAAGGGTAGAAATAAATATCACTCACGATAGCAAAAAAAATATTTACAAAATTTTCCTTTAACTGCCCCTTAAATAAAACTAGCTTAGTGTAAAAGTTTCTAATTGTTTTAACTTGTTGAGATAGAAGTCATATTAAAATGAATTCTAACTTCCCTATAATATCTTAAAGTTATTGCTTGAATAAAAAACGAGACATGATTCTCTAATGCCTTTTTTCAGAATTCAGTAACATGGTCGCACAGATCAGAAAAATATTGTACCTACATCAATTTTTTTAAAACAATTCAAATCATTTTGGGGACTCTATATTTTTTTGATAAACATACATTTCTTCGTTGCGATTTAACAAATACCAATTTCGTCTTGCGATTGATAATATAATTCACCGACAACTTTTTTTAGATTAAAGCTCGGAAATTTTGCAATGGCACCTAAGCATTTAATATTTTCTAATAATGTACCTACAAATTTGGCTTTATTTGAGAATTCAGTAAGTTCACCTATATTGTTATGACTTTCAGGTAAATCAACCATAACATCATACTACATGTCAAAATAATGGTGTGCAATTGCCTATTGACATGAATTGATTCACCATGAATCAACAGTATACCACAACAATACGCCGATATACACTGCATCGCAGAAGAATTATTATTGAAGCCACTTTTTGAGCGTATGGCACTGAAACTTATCATCTCATTTTATAAAGTAAATACCCAAATATTAAAAGGAGGCACATTTGATATTAATCTCTCAGATATACGGTATTTCGATGTGACCGTGCAGCATGGTGGCGGATGTCTCTTGACTTCCCTGCACCGCATGAACTGCACCGCGTGATTGCCCTGTGATTTGCACATCGAATCTCGGCCGATTGAAATAGTTTGTGCAACTGTCTATTTTAAATGCGGATGAACCTTCGGTATCCGTAGACGGTCAGCATCCACCCGCCACCGCTTATTGTGTGCGTGCGGCCTAAGAAAGCCGATTGTAGTAGGTACATTGTATTCCAAGAAGTGGATTGGTCTGATGTATACTCGTCTGATTTTAATCTGATCTCTGAATCTCAATTGCTTCTAATTATATATTATAATTAAACTCTGTATTTGAGGAATGCGTGCCAACAAATTCGAGGAACCTAGGATACTCAAGGTACTTATATCCTAAATGGTACACAAAGGACGACATGAAAAGAATTAAACAAAAAGCCACATTGCATAAGATACAAGGTTACTAAATCCCCAGGAGATCGTTGTTGGATCAAATGTGATTGAAGATACCAAGTCATTCTGGAGATTCATTGATAGTAGCAGAGTTAACAGAGAACCATCGGGTATTATTGCGAACAGAGAGGTGAACCCTCTGATGGGAGTGTTAAAGCATTTGCCGAATATTTTAACTCTGTTTATGTTACACAAAAGCCAAAGCTTGACGTCAGCGCAGCTGTTGCCGGAGCGGGTTGTTCAAACGGGGCTGCATGAGTTCACGTTGGAAGCTTACAGTTAAGCGATATACAGGAGGCACTTATGCAACTTAAGTCAAAAAAGGCAGTACCTAGGCCCTGTAACCTGGGGTTCATATTACGAATAGCTTGTGGCTTCACGAATATCAGTGCAATCAAGATTTTATACAATGCGTTAGTTAGACGTCACTTGGAGTGCAAGGCAATGGTGTGGGCCCCATACAGTGATTCTAAATTCAGTCACATGTTAGATCGAGTACAAAATAAATTCACCGTTACCTCTACAATAGACTGTATGGAGTGTATCCCTTGTATCCGTTTATGTACCCGACCCCGTTTGTTCTGGGTATGGTGGGTTATGATGACCAGCTACGCCTCAGAAGAGAGCTAGCGTTGTCAGTGTATTTATTTAGGATACTTACGGGTCGGGTTCATAATCTGGATATAATGGAGAGACTGGGTCTACGGGTACCAAGTAAAAACCTGAGGCGGAAGTCTAAATTTTTGGATGTACCGCGTGCACACTCCAACTTGGTTAGCGAAGCGTCACGAGCAATACAAATAATAAACAGAATGTCTATCGAGGTAGTTACAATGTCACACATATACCTAGAACGCACCATAAGCGTTAATGCAATCGACGAATGCTTAGTTATCATGTAAGGGTTTTTAGCAGTAAGAATAGAATTATATTCAAATCAGTCTAATATCGACCACCGTAGTTATAGGGTCTTGCATCGACCTCCTTAGAATTAGTCTAACATCGACTATAGTTAAGAATACTAAGTGTAATATTCCTTAATAAAGTTTAATTTTTAAAAAACCTTTTAAATACCGTCGCGATTTGACTAGGTAGACCTATTTGTTTGTACACTGGCTGAGTTCACAAGAGTTGCTTGCTATATAGGTATATATATATATAAATATTTAATGTTTTCTATACTGCTCAAAACAATTAGCGGAACAAGATTTTTCTCCTTTCTATTGCTTAAACTAAAATTAGATTTAAATTAACTTGTACGCTATTTTTTACCTTGTTAATTTGTTAATTACTACAATTAATAAAAAAATTCAATTTGTATTTTTTTTATTAAAAAAAAATTAAAATGTGCATTGTAGACGAAAAACTAATTGATGATAAAAAAGGTCCATCAAAGAAATATTCTTATATCGTTTGAATATTCGTCTTTAGTGACTTTCAGTAACGTGTGTGGCCTCCATGAGCCCTAATCACGGCTTGACAACGACGCGGCATGCTTCGTATGATCCTCCGAATATCTTCTTGTGGAATTCGCTCCCATTCTTCAATCAACGCTTCAGTGAGCTGCTGCAGTGTTTGAGGTGCAATCGGACGCTTCCGGATGCGCCTGTCAAGCAAGTCCCAAATGTGTTCAATTGGATTTAGGTCAGGGCTCATGGAAGGCCACTCCATTACAAGGATTTCCTGCTGTCGTAAGTAATCTGACGTGATGGCTGCAGTATGCGGCCTGGCATTATCTTGCATTAAAAGAAAATCTGGGCCCATACTTAGTTTGCTGCGGGCCAAACATGATCTTCGAGCACATTTTCAATGTAAGTTTGAGCACACAAGCGCCCGGGAACAACGACGAGATCTGTGCGCTCGTCCAAACTAACTCCGCCCCAAACCATCACAGAGCCACATCCAAATTTGTCATATTCCTGGACTGCTGCTGCAATGTAACGCTCGCATGGGCGTCTGTAAACACGGAGACGACCATCGCAACGTGTTAGACGGAATCGTGATTCGTCAGTAAAAAGCACTGGCCTCCAATGTCGAAGTTGCCAATTAGCGTGATTTTGCGCGAACTGTCGGCGAGCTTGTCTATGTTGAATTGTTAGACGCACAGCCCGAACTGGTCGGCGTGATCTCAAATTGGCTTCCAACAACCTATGACTAGTGAGTATTCACCCGTCTCACGGTATCGCTTCCAAAGTCTGTAGATAACAGAAGGTGCTACTCCTAGATCATTTCCTACATAACGCATAGTTCGACCCTCTTCAAGCAAAGCGATAGCTCGGGAGACATGCAATTCAGTCAGATCTGTATCTGAATAACAATACTCAAAAGGCTCACTTCAATTTCAATTAATACTCAAAAGATTGAAAAAAACTACTTAAAATGTGTTTTCTGTGATTAGAAAGTAATGAAAATTCAAAGACGTCACTTTGTTTTTAGGTGTTTCTAGACACACTGCCACTTTATTATAGGACTACTAACCAAAACGCCGATGCTCTTTTGTTTTTTATTTTCTTCGACAATGCCTTAACATTATCTAGTGGCCAGTAATAATTAAAACCTTAAGTAAAAAGTTTAGTTCTACTTTAAAGTTTTGTTCCCGTAATTGTTTTGAGCAGTATATATAGGATAATCAGTGTAGGTATTATTTGTCGTTCTATCGCATTAGCATATATATATAGTAACTATTAAGATATAATAATGATGTGGAAAATTAATAACTTACTCTATGGTAACCACAGGTTAAAGTTTAACTCAAGGAGACAATAAATCTATGTTTATTCCTCATACGATTTACTATCCAAAAAAATACAATTATTCGGTATTCCATTCATATTTTATAGGTAAGTACTCTACTTAATCCTAATCTATCATTGTAATGGATTATTAAATATGGTAATAAAATTGATGATTAATCAAAACGTCACCTTATTATAGGTCTTTTTGCGCGACGTGTGTCAATTTACGTGAAAATTTAAAAATGAAAATGTGTAAACTGAGTGCTGTAAGCAATAAGCTGTTTGAATCCGCTATCCAATGAAAAAGCAATCTTCCGCAATCAAAGAAAGATTAACTTCTATTCGTTTTAATTTCCGATACTTCATATAAAAGCATGGCACGGAGATATCGTGATGCTGCTGCAAAGCTGCAGCAAAACGTACACAAGCACTTAAAAGAAATAAAAGATCTCTCATCATCTGAAGATGAAGAGCCATATGAACCTAGTGTTCTGGAGGGTGTTTTCCAGAGTTACTGGCAAGGCGGTGGTGATACGCACATGACTAACAGGACAAGGAATCTTCTAGAAGAAGCTCTAAGCGGTCGGTCTGTTACTTGTTTAATTTGCATTGGATCTATTAAAAGAGCCGACGCTATCTGGACATGTGACCACTGCCATTCTTACTTCCATCTATCGTGTATTCAAAAATGGGCTAATGATAGCATAAACTTACGTTCCGAAGAAATCCAAGCTCCAATTGTAATTGTCAAGCGAAAAAATATTGAGTGGTGTTGTCCCAAATGTAGGACGACATACAGTAAAGAGGAAATTCCACACAAGTATCGTTGTTTTTGTGGAAAAACTGATGATCCACCATACCACCCTTGGTTAGTGCCTCATACTTGTGGAGAAATATGTGGGCGAAAAATTTCATTTGGTGACAATTGTAAACATAAATGCTTATTACTGTGTCATCCTGGCCCATGCCCTCCATGCCCTCAAACAATAAACGGAATATGTTACTGTGGAAATGAACAGAAAAGAGTTAGATGCAGTGCACCTAAATGGTCTTGTGGTGAAACATGTAGTAAATTACTTCCTTGCAGGTCTCATAAGTGTGAAAACATTTGTCATGAAGGTGATTGTTTGCCTTGTCATTACACCAGTCTACAGCGTTGTCTCTGTGGCGGAGAAAAAGCAAAACGACCATGTACTGATCTGATCTGGCAGTGTTCTAAAGTTTGCAACAAAAAATATTCATGTGGGTTTCATAATTGTTTGGATACATGTCACTCTGGGTCCTGTGGCCCTTGCCCAAATTCTGGCCTCAGGACTTGTCCTTGTGGAGCTATTAAACAGCATGTACAATGTCCAGATTCTATAGAAACATGTCTTAGTACCTGTGGGAAAAGGCAAGAGGGTTGTGAACATACTTGTCCTGAAAAATGTCATAAGGGACCATGTCCACCATGTCAAGTGATGGTTGAAAAAAAATGCCATTGCTCTACACATGCACGATCATTGCCATGTAGCAAAGACTTTAGATGTGACACCAAATGCAGAGGTATTAGACCTTGTGGAAAGCATGTTTGTGCTCGTAAATGTTGTAGTGGTAACTGTCCTCCTTGTGAAAAACTTTGTGATAAACCATTGCAATGTGGCCGTCACAAATGCACAACAATTTGTCATCATGGGCCTTGTTATCCTTGTCCAAGGGAATCAAAAATTATGTGCCGTTGTAAAGAAACATTTATCACAGTACCGTGTGGCAGAGAAAAATATGTAAAGCCCCCTAAATGTAATCAAAAATGTAATATTAAATATAAGTGTGGGCATATTGAAGAAAACAAACATTCCTGCCATTTTGGTGACTGTCCTCCTTGTAAAGCTGTGTGTAACAAATCTTATGAGAAATGTGATCATAAATGCAAGGCCCAATGTCATGAATATGTTATTGTTGTATTTAAGCAAGTTGAAAAACCAGCAACACCTTGGGAAGTTCAGCCTCCAAAGACAAAAGTTGTAGCTTTGGATTGCCCACCTTGTGAGGCTCCTGTAACAGTTATATGTTTTGGAGAACATGATTCTGAACTGCAGCCCTGCCACTTAGCATCACGCCGCTGCTGTGGGCGGCACTGCAACAAAGACCTGGATTGTACCAACCATAAGTGTTTACTACTATGTCACTTATATAGCCCTGATTCTAACTATCCAAATGTGCCTTCCTCATGTAGACAATGTGATAGGGAGTGTTCTGTGCCTAGACCAGCAGAATGTGCTCATAAATGTCCTAAACGTGCTTGTCATCCTGGACCTTGTCCACCTTGTGAGGTATTAGAAAGAATTAAATGCTTTTGTGCTGTTACAGAGATATATTTACGTTGTCGAGAGCTATGTGCAGCAAATGATGAAACATTAAGCTGCAAGCAACAATGCCCTAAGAATTTGGCATGTGGACATAGGTGTAAAAAATCCTGTCACAGAGATAGCTGTGGAGAGAATCAAATCTGTATGAAAAAAACGAAAATACATTGTTCTTGTGGTAATTTGAAGAAAGAAGCATCTTGTAATTTGGTGCGATCATCTGAAATTAAAGTTGACTGTGACAGTACTTGTGAAGCAAAGAAGTTGGCAGTTAAATGTGAGAAAGAAAAAGAAGAAAAACGATTGAAAGAGTTAGAAGAGGAAAGAAATCGCAAAGAACTTGCAGAATATGAATGGAAACTGAGCGGAAAAAAGAAAAAACACAGAGAAAAGAAAATGATTATCAATGAAGACAATAGAAATTATGTACAAAAATACTGGGTTCCTATTTTAACTATTGTTATTGTAATTTTGTCAGGAGTTCTATATATTATAAATTTTTCAGGGGTGTAATATCTATTTTTACAAATAACTCCAATTACTGTAAATTGCCACTTGTAATAATATAAATATCATACAATACTGTATTTGCATATATTTATATTTGGTATTATTGAGAGAGAACATCTTGTGAGAAATCTAAAATACAATAAATGTAAATTTCGAGTTATTTGTTTTATTAACAGTCGTAAGTTCACTAAATTAGTAAATATATATTTTTTAGTGCCTAATCTCTATGGCCAGTTTCTATTCTGCTACTAATCTAGAAATATAGCGTGTAACGATAAAAGTATAATATTTTCATTTTATCTTCAGAATACTATTTTTTATTTCCTGCAAATAATTATAGCAGGGCTGATTTTAGTAAAGCATTGATAATGCAGTTTCTTCACTTTCTTGTGTTCGGGCAGCCTCGTGTTGTAAGTTGTAGGTATGGCGCTATATTCGTCAGCTGTGACATTTGGAAGTAGTGGCCTCTTTGCCTTTGGAACATCACCCTCAAAACTTCAAAAGTCAAAATGCGCCCAATTTACGATGGCAGTCCACTACGCGCATGTTCCTGGCGACTTTCGTGTTACGAACGCACCTCAGCTTATCAGCCAAGTCAGCCACGCCTCCTGCGGCGGTTTGATGAAGTTTCATATTTAATATTTTAGTTTAAAGATCTACCCATATGATTAGAATGAGAGAGGATGGTTTCATAATTTTGGACTTACGAAAATTTAGATTATGTTCAAAAGTAATAGGCTGTCTGGGTCACTAGACTTACAAGCCGTCGGAAAAACCTCCCCCCCCCCCCCGGAAGCCCCCCCCCCCCCCCCCCCCCCCCCCCCCCCCCCCCCCCCCCCCCCCCCCCCCCCCCCCCCCCCCCCCCCCCCCCCGGGGTTTTTTTTCCCCCCCCCCCCCCCCTTTTGGGGTTTTTTTTTTCCCTTTTTGGGAAAATTCCCAAAAAACCCCCTTTTTGGGGGGGGGGGGGGGGGGGGGGGGACCCCCCCCGGGGGGGGGGGGGGGGGGGCGCCCCCCCCCCCCCCCCCCCTTTAAAAAAAAAAACCCCCCCCCCCCCCCCCCCGCGCCCCCCCCCCCCAAGGGGGGGGGGGGGGGCCCCCCCCCCCCCCCCCCCCCCCCAAAAAACACAACAAAAAAAAAAAAAAAAAAAACCCCCCCCCCCCCCCGCGCGGGGGGGGGGGGGGGGGCCCCCCCCCCCCGGGGGGGGGGGCCCCCCCCCCCCCCCCCCCCCCCCCCCCCCCCCCCCCCCCCCCCCCCCCCCCCCCCCCCCCCCCCCCCACCCCCCCCCAAAAAAAAAAAAAATATATTTTTTTTTTTTTTTTTTCGCCCCCCCCCCCCCCGGCTTTTTTTCCCCCCCCCCCCCCCCCCCCCCCCCCCCCCCCCCCCCCCCCCCCCCCCCCCCCCCCCCCCCCCCCCCCCCCCCCCCCCCCCCCCCCCCCCCCCCCCCCCCCCCCCCCTCTTTTTTTTTTCTTTTTCTTCCCCCCCCCCCCCCCCCCCCCCCCCCCCCCCCCCCCCCCCCCCCCCCCCCCCCCCCCCCCCCCCCCCCCCCCCCCCCCCCCCCCCCCCCCCCCCCCCCCCCCCCCCCCCCCCCCCCCCCCCCCCCCCCCCCCCCCCCCCCCCCCCCCCCCCCCCCCCCCCCCCCCCCCCCCCCCCCCCCCCCCCCCCCCCCCCCCCCCCCCCCCCCCCCCCCCCCCCCCCCCCCCCCCCCCCCCCCCCCCCCCCCCCCCCCCCCCCCCCCCCCCCCCCCCCCCCCCCCCCCCCCCCCCCCCCCCCCCCCCCCCCCCCCCCCCCCCCCCCCCCCCCCCCCCCCCCCCCCCCCCCCCCTCCCCCCCCCCCCCCCCCCCCCCCCCCCCCCCCCCCCCCCCCCCCCCCCCCCCCCCCCCCCCCCCCCCCCCCCCCCCCCCCCCCCCCCCCCCCCCCCCCCCCCCCCCCCCCCCCCCCCCCCCCCCCCCCCCCCCCCCCCCCCCCCCCCCCCCCCCCCCCCCCCCTCCCTCTTCTCCTTTTTCCCCCCCCCCCGCCCCCCCCCCCCCCTTTTTTTTCCCCCCCCCCCCCCCCCCCCCCCCCCCCCCCCCCCCCCCCCCCCCCCCCCCCCCCCCCCCCCCCCCCCCCCCCCCCCGCCGGGGGGGGGGGGGGGGGGGGGGCGGGGGCCCCCCCCCCCCCCCCCCCCCCCCCCCCCCCCCCCCCCCCCCCCCCCCCCCCCCCCCCCCCCCCCCCCCCCCCCCCCCCCCCCCCCCCCCCCCCCCCCCCCCCCCCCCCCCCCGCGCCCCCCCCCCCCCCCCCCCCCCCCCCCCCCCCCCCCCCCCCCCCCCCCCCCGCTGGGGGGGGGGGGGCGGCCCCCCCCCCCCCCCCCCCCCCCCCCCCCCCCCCCCCCCCCCCCCCCCCCCCCCCCCCCCCCCCCCCCCCCCCCCCCCCCCCCCCCCCCCCCCCCCCCCCCCCCCCCCCCCCCCCCCCCCCCCCCCCCCTTTTTTTTTTTTTTTTTTTTTTTTTTTTTTTTTTTTTTTTTTTTTTTTTTTTTTTTTTTTTTTTTTTTTTTTTTTTCTTTTCCCCCCCCCCCCCCCTTTTTTTTTTCTTTTTTTTTTTTTTTTTTTCTTTTTCTCCTCCCCCCCCCCCCCCCCCCCCCCCCTCCCCCCTTCCCCCCCCCTTCCCTTTTTTTCTCTTTTCTTTAATACATATCACATTAACACATTTACGAGGAATATTTTAAGCCTGTTATGGCATGTCATATTCTACATTAAAAAATAATTATCGGTGTAAAAGCCCGATATGTTGGGCCCAAGTTCAATATTTATTTATAGGATAAAATAACCAACTTAATAAATTGGTTGTTAATATAAGAAGATATGTTGAGGAACCACCTAAGCTCTCCATAATGAGTATAGCTATGCATTTGCAAGTCCTAGGGCTTACTGAACTAAAGAGAGATACCTACCTAATTACCCAATGAGTTTGACGCAAAGTATTTTTGATTAAATATTTCATGCGTATATTATTCTTATGCCAAAATCTGTTAGATCTCTGAAAGATATTGTCTGGCCCAGATATATATAATTATCGACGTATTGAATTATTTCTCCATCCACCAAATTGGTAGACTGAAAATAGAGGTATTGAATACCTCTATTTTCAGTCTATATTTTTATGTAATAGGAGGCAAATGGGCAGGAGGCTCACTTGATGTTAAGTGATACCACCGCACATGGACACCCACATTGCCAGAAGGCTCGCAAGTGCGTTGCCGGCCTTTTAAGAATTGGTACGTTATTTTCTTGAAAGACTAAGTATTTAAGTCCTAAGTCAAATTGGTCCGGCAATACTTCATTGCGCAGCTGGTTCCACATAGAGGTGGTGCGCGGAAAAAAACTGTCTTAAACAACGCTCAGTTATGCAACTTTGGACGTCGAGGTGATGGAGGCTGAATTTTGTATTATGCCTCTACGCCGATGATGAAACTCAGCTAGCAGAAGCAGGTAGGTATAAGATGCAGTGAACACTAACGCCAAAGGATCAAGGTGCTCGGAAAGGAAGTGGTCGTCGACGATTCGAATCACACTTCGTTGAATACGGTCAAGTGAAAGGAGCTGGTACTGGGGAACTCCCGCCCAGAGGTGAGAACAGTACTCCATGTCGGGCCGGATTTGCGCTTTATAGAGTGGCAAGCGGTGGCCCGGAGTGAAGTTCCGTCTCGCTTTGCTGTGCTCAGCAACCAAGATTATTAAGAGGCTAATGTAGCCTTTCCTTGTTTATAACATGCTTAGCGGCCGGAATAATTGTAAATTGTAGGTAAATTTGTATCCGTGTTGACGTATGACGTGACGTGTTAAAAACAAATTATGTTACATAATTATCTTATCGCTATTGCACATTTGATAATAATTGTAAAAATTCAATGCATTGATATAGATAAGTGCCTTAGTAACGGTTTTTTGTTTATAATTTTCTGCTGTTACTCTTGTATTAGTCCCTGTGAGAAAATATATTGCTTGCGTCATTCTAAATGATTTCTTTTTCGCTTATGATTTTTCGACTATTATACCTATAAACATATATAAACTAAAGAACAACCCATTTTTTGAATGGGGAAATTCGATACGATCTCCCGCGACGCGACTATTTTGTGGTGTGCAACTCATTATTGTGCATACCCATTAAAATCCTACGGTACCACCGGTAAACGCCCGAGATAGGACACGCTTAGGCTATGTTCAATCAAAATTGTTTTCCCTTGTGGTATTTTCTACACTTTCACAAGCCCGTCAACGCGCGACGCGCGCAAGGGCGCTCAGAGAAAAAGTCTCTAGACCAGGTGATCGCGCTTACGCGCGCTTGATATTAATGTAATGTCCGTTTGCTGTTCAGATGAGCCCGCTTCATCGCGATCGCATGTAATTTTGTTAATTTTCGTAATTATATTTTGTTCTCGCATTTAAAATGAGTGAAATTGAAGATATTGACACGACTTACAATCGATGAAGTAGAAAAAAGGCCAGCAAGTTGGAATATACAAATTTGTATAAAAAAGGGTGCGTGTACTTATGTACGCGCGTAAGAAGTATACTTCTTTGGCATTATTAAAAATAGTTTTGATTGCTGCAAATAATTAATTACAATTAAATAATCAAAGACTGGAAAAGGAGTCATTAAAGTCAATAAAGTTCAGTTTACATTTGAAAAATTAATTAAATAAATATTTATTATTATTTTACATTAAACAAATAAAACACTATTTATCTTTAAAACATTTTTATTTCATTATACTATTTATTTTTAAGTGACTCTAATGTCTTCATCAGAATTTCGGTTTGTAATTTTAAATTAATCATTACTTGGTTGTGCTCTACGAGGCTTCTCCAAAACTACTTACTTTCTGCAACAAATAAGAGAATATTAATTTAAGCTCTGTCCATCAAAACTTAAAATTTTTTATAATTCATATTATAAATTTTTAACACATTTATATTAATATAATTATATAAATGTGTTAATAATATAATTTGTAGCACATGCTACAGACCTGGATAGCAACTTTCTTTTATTCTATTTAGAGATAGAGATAATTTAAATATAATACCGGTGTCTTCCTTGTAGGTTTCTTTGGAGTTGTTTGGGGATTCTTGTTGTTCAGTTCGACATGATTTTCTTTAACCTTTCTTTAATCCTACAAAATAATGAAATTGTTAAGTTATGTTGTCACTTTGTGCACACCTTTGTTTGGCTTTTTAGTATTCAAGTTATGTCAAAACTGATTTATTACCTTGTCATTGTTGGCTTTATTTGCTTTTGGGATATCAATTGTTTCCAAAATGATTTTATTTGTAATAACCTGAATATATAAATAATCTATTAATTTAAATCATGGTGAGTGGTTCGCACTCAGGTATTAAGGTGTATTATACCCACTGTCCATATAAGTGGGAATGGGCTCACTTCTGGCGGACGAGTTTCGGTACTACAATCAACATGGATGTTTTGAGGTTTACATTCTCTAACTACCCTTAGGGGAATAAAGTAATGTTGTAAGCATATGCCTATGCTGAAAGGTTGAACCTACATCACCATACTCATATTTATAATTAACATTCCTACCTCGACACCATCACAATCAAATTCATTGAAATCTACTTCAAACCATTGTGTCTCGAGAAGGTGATGGTGGCTTTGTTCCACCTCCAGTTTTTCATGTTTCACGGCGATAAGATGACAACTCTTTTTTTGTATTCAATTTAGTGCACTTCCACTGATTCATCAATTGTTTTTTGTCTCTTGTCCTTATATTTGCTAGATTAAATCTGATGTTTTGATTAAATAATGTGGTCATTTTTTTGAGATGCAGGTACTTATTAAAATGTTTACTTCTCTGTTATATCGCTCAAGCCTTCATTTTCTCCTAATTAGTTTCGTGCTTAATCTTTGTTCTCAATTATTGATATATATGGTCGTAGAATATTTCTAAAAAGTTGCTTAACAAACGCAATAAACAAAAGCAATGAATAATGGTTCATGTTTCAGTTTTAATCAACAATATACTCGATAATACATACGGATAGTTAACCTCAATTGTATTGAAGCACTCAGGAAGGTTAGCACAGTTTTTTCACAAATATTTTATATTATTTCACAAATATTTTGTATAATGAAAATAACTAGGTATATAATTATTAATTTTAAACAATAATTAAAACTCCTATATTTGTTTAAAAGGTAAATGTCATTGTCAGATGTCAATTGTCATGGTCATTCAAAATTCTTGTTAAGCTGCTAAGCTAGAATATGCGTGAAGTTAGCTTCACGCATATTCTATTTCTTTTACTTGTAGTTTGTCTTTTCCCATCTCGCTCGCGCACGCTTTCACACTGCCAATTTTGTGTCATAGGTGCGCGCGCAATCGTAAAATTTCACTCTCATCAATTTTTCATAACGCGCCTAAAGAAGTACAACTTCAAAAATATATTATCGTTTTTTTTTCAAAATTGGATGAACCAATGTGTACGTTTTCTTTTTCTATATTTTTCTTTATAATATAACCACAAAATAATAGCCTCTTCCACGTCCATTTTCTACGTTCTACCGAACTAGACTGACGAGTACTCTCGCAACGCGCGTTAGCGCTCATCATCTGAACGCTCTTCAAATTTGATCGCGCGTTGACGCGCGTTAACGCGCGTTACATGTGAACATAGCCTAAAGAAAATGGAGTTAGTTAAAACCGTATTTCCACGTTGGGTTGAACTAACTAGATACAGCACAATCTGTGCGCCAAACGTACCTACTCGAACGTAAATGCTCAATCGCATTACTAACTTACCCCATACTCTATGTGTCTATTTGATCTGTGCATATGTCAGACGTATCACTTACGATATTGACGTATACAGTAATCATTAGTGTTGCAACTTATAAACAAAAGTAAAAACAATAATTTAGTAATTTTACAAGAAAGTCTTAAATCTCAATTCTCAATTAGTTTTGCGTTATTCTGTAAAAAAAATATTTATTTCTAAATTAATAGGTAGGATTGAATAGTAAATAAATGAAATATGAATTATAATATTGTGATCACCGAAGTATTCCGATTATTTTAATGTAAAAAATTGCGTGATAAGCGATGTTGAATGGCTTGGGTAAGCTTATCATTTTAGTTTCAATGTTATATTTAGTCTTCACTAATCGGACATTCTAATTACGCGTACCATGTCTCGTGTGGCGACCTACGTGTTTCTAGATCTTGAGACTACAGGGCTCCCTTCAGAAGAGATTGGTAAAACTCGCATTGCCGAAATTAGTTTAATTGCCGTGAAACGTAACCATTTCCTTGATACTAAACAAGGAAATATGCCTCGCGTTCAACATAAGGTTACACTTTGTCTCAATCCACTGCGGATGATTCAGCCTGAAGCAACAGAAATCACAGGCCTGTGCAATGAGTTACTAGAACACGAGCCGGCGTTTGAACAAAATGTTTTCAACATATTAAACACCTTTCTTAATATGCTTTCAAAACCAGTGTGTCTTATTGCCCAAAATGGACTTGGTTTTGATTTTCCGATTCTCAAGCGTCACATAGATATACTTGGCAAGAAGTTTGCTGAAGATTTACTATGTGCTGACTGTTACCACGGATTTTATGATATTCTGCAGAAAGACAATTATAGTAAAATAAAAATGCCTATTGTGGGTATCTCATCCATAAGTGATGTTACTGAAGTAGACAGCTTATCAATCCATACATTAGGTGAAACTCTATTACATTCTGAAAACACATTGTGGATGAAAGCCATAAATGAATCAACTCCAGTTAAACAAAAATTAACTAAAGAAATTTCAAGAAGTAACATACTTAAGGCCAAACGTAGATTTCCATGGAGCAAAGGAAATCAGCCAAGAGAAAAGTATAAGTTAAAAAATATACATGAAAGACTCTTAAATCGTCAAAATGTGGAAGCCCATCATGCTGAGAATGACTGTATAATGGCTTTGGAATGTGCTGTAGTATTGGGCAAACATTTTAGTGAGTGGGTGGATAATAACTGTGTGCCCTTCTCAATAATAAAACCTATGACACCTGGTGTTCCATTAGGATACTGATAATTATCAATTTTAAATATATTATAAGAATTTTATATATAATTTTATATATTATACTAAAGCCAAATTTTTTTAACAATTTGTAATTTTAATTCTTATATTTAAGATGTAGCCTTATAAATTTATTTTTAAAACTATAAACTACTTTATCTTAAGTGAAGCATGTCTTTACTTTAACTTGTTTACTAAAATTTGAGATAATTTAGTAGTTTTTATTTGATTTTATATTTTAGATGTATAGTTTTGTATTATTTTACAATTTTAAAGTTTGACTTAAATAAAGGAATTTTATAAAAACATATATGTGTTGTAGTATCAATTAAGGAAGGACACCAAGACAAATTATTATAAGTAGTTCCATAACTATTAACTTATTGTAAAAAAAGTTAATAAACATATACAAATATTTTTATTGTGTTCTTTATTACATACTCACTTATACACTTGAGTCATATTTTTGACTTCATTATTGAATATCACACAAAACTTATCTTAAGTATAGATGAGAATGGAAATTTTATAAGTTTTGGAACTTATTATATAATTTGTAAAGCTAATGATATAGAAGCAGTCAATTGTGGTTTTCAGGTCTTTTATTTCTGACAGGGGTGCTATGGGGTTGCACAAATCCATTTATTCGTCAGGGAACCAAAGGCCTTCGCTCGGTGCAAGCCAAGAGTAAGGTGGGCCAGCTGTATGCTGAAGTGGTATTCCTGCTAAGTAACTGGAAGGTATGTAAATTAATTTTAAAAACTTTACCTACCACTTATATTTTATTAATCTTATATAGTCATTCTAGTGTATTATATATATATCATGGGCCAAACATAGAATAGATAATTTCATTAAATGGTTGACCATGCGTTTTAATTGCCAATGTGAGCCAGCTCATAATAATAGCTTGTGTCCATTCGCACTTTGCACACACCCTTTTGCACTAACATTTAATGTTTTATTTTTGGTTAATATGAAAGCAACTTAACCAAGTTCAAAACTTTTATCATGTTAAGTATCAGCTAGTAACAAAAGCAAAAATTCTAATAATTCTATTTAGTCAGGCTTAATTTGTATATATGTGAAATAAATTGTCATCTGTCTTTGCCTCTGTCTGATCTACCTCAGTACTTATTTCAAAAATAATCAGAAACTAAGATGCTAGAAGATGATATTTGAGTTTTTTGTTAGTATGTTCTACCATGGCTGATAAACCAAGCGGGTTCCCTGGTCTACTTAATGGCTGTACAGCGACTGCCCCTATCAACAGCAGTTCCAGCAGCGAACAGCCTCGCCTTCGCTTTCACTGCTATTACTGCCGCTGCTATTGGGTCTGAAGAACCGCTTGATTCTCGTAAGATAACTCAACTTTGGCTTTGCGAGGAGTAGTATTTGTTGTCTATCCAATACATAATATAGATTATCTAACAATTTCATGATGTTATAGTATTATAATTAATATCAGGATCTCAGATATTTTTTAATTCCATCAATATTTACGTATTAAAAATTCGGAACGGCTGTTGTACGTAACGTTATTTTTTTCTGCCAGTTTGAACTCTTTCCTATACTTTAATCAATATAGCTGATCAAAACGACTGATTGATTATGTTT